CCATTGGGGGGGGGGAGGGGGGGGGAACGACCGGCCCTGCATCATATATGTCTACCCTCCTCTTCATCCACTCCCCCAGGCCACCCCCACTGCCAAGACTTCTCCCGGTCGGGCCGAGGCGCACGACGCGAGGCGCTTAGAGTTACTTCAAGTTCCTATCTGGGCTCTAGCTTTATCCGCTTGGGGTTCCAGTTCCGTGCAAGAGACTCCCGACTGCACCCGAAACATGGCTGTCACCACCCGCCGTGATTGTTCACGAAGTGCATTCCTGAACGATTCGTAATGGCGCTTGTTCCGAGGCAAAAAGGGCAGCTATCTGCAAACGTCGAGATTGCCGAGTGCAGCGCTAGAGCAGTTGTGGAGGCATTGGGGATCTGCCTGGTGGAGCACAGGTCGTTCAGCTCCAATTTCGCAACACTGCGTCGCAAATCCAAACTGGGGTTCGTTCTGGCGGATGTGCGCCGGAAAGAATAAACGTGCAGCGACAGTCAGGAGCAATGACCTGATTCACATCCCAATCCTCCTTTGTCAAGAAAATGAGCCTTGACTGCTCTGCGATGCTCTGCGCACGCCTTTGAGCTAACGACCAATCCATCCAGGCTCTCACCGAGCGCCTCATGCACATCGCGCAAAAACCGACCATGCCCTGAGTTCAGAGGCTTACTTGACAAGTGGATCATCGTTTCCGCTACAAACTGGCCTTTGGACTTGAGACGGTCGCATCCTTGACGACTGTCATGCTTGTTTGGTAAAGCTGAAGGCTGTCCGTGACAGGCCCCTGGCGCACCAGCGAGAGAACTCAACATGGAAGAGTCAGAAACATGCGAAGGATGCCTCGTCGAGCAAGTGTTCATTCAACTCAAGTGTCGTCTTCGGCACGCTTTCCTCCGTGTGCGGGATCCCTGAAGGAAGCTCTTCCTTGCTCTCGGGGCCAGCCGTGATGAGTGGCTCCTCCGAGCCAGTGCTTTCTGGTCCGGTGCTGGCCGCCACCGCTCGGGAAGGCGAAAGGCTCTCGTTGCCTTCCAAGGGTACTGCATCCTCTGTAGCCTCGATTTCGGCCGCCACGCGCAAGTCGCTGCCACCAGGAGTCACTGACTCCACAGCTTGGATTTGGTCGTCGATGCTTTCCTGACTCGAATGCTAACTAACCCACTTATCTACGCTGGAACAACACGACTGGGCCTCCAAAGCTCTTGTCGGAGTAAAGCGTGACGGGACTTGGAAAGTGCCTTGCTCCTTTCATGCAAATCATGATTCTACGACGAGACCTGTGCGTTGTGAGCAGCCGCAGTCAAAGGAACCAGAACATGCGTCTCCTTGCGAAAGGTTCGTGGCACAACCACCTCATTGAGTTGAAAAGACTCTCACATCGTGGAAGCACTGCGGGCAGACTTCGACAAGAATCGGTCAGACATTCCACGTGCAGCCCGGTCTCGAGTGCAAGCAAGGCCAACAGAAAGCAGCCTTTAACACAGCTCGTCTGCATGAGCTGCATGTGTTTGGATCGATTGATGGTGCCTAGCGCCAGCCGCAAGGACTTGAAAGCCATGGCAACTTCTACCCGATGATGGTACGGCGTTGTAAGGCTGGGAAGCAACACCAGCAACGCCTGTGAGAGAATCGCTGCGGTGAGCGTCCATTCGGCAGATCTGCTCGCTGTGAAAAGGAGAGTACCCCCAGAGCTTTCAGCAGTTTTTGACCAGCCGTGGTTCAGGCTTTGTCAAGACGGCGAGTCGCGATTCGTTGGGAAGCCGCTCCCACTCCAGCCTGGCTTCCGGTTGCTCGAGGAACTTCGCAGGCTTCTTTTGGGCACTTTCTGGGAGCTGCGCCAATCAAGTCGAGCAAGCCTCGCCTTGGCGCTACATAGAAACGATGCCTAGCACAAAGCCCGAGTTCAGGATTTCTCAGGTTGCGGCGTCACCCTCCCGGTCTATCCAAGGAAATCTGCCGGTTTGTGCCTTATCTCGTTTGCATATTGCGATCCGACTTTTCAACATGCCTCTTGAAGCCTTAGGCTCCTGCTTGGAGCCCGAAGTGCGGAATGCTGGTGCCGTTCCTGCATGCTTCACTTGGCATGTCTTCTGGTAACGAGGATATTGACCATCACTGAGCCATCACGAAGGAAACACAACATTGCAGCCTTGACCTCGCGCGTTCAGGCACACAACTGCGATAAGAGTTCTCGGAAGAAAAAACGCCCATGTACACAAATACTTGTATGGGGACTGAATCGAGCGGGGCCAGACCCGAAGTTGAGCCCAATCGGTTGCATCGGTTTTGGTAGTCGCAGACGGGTTCGTTGATTGATAAATCAAGTAGCGGATGGTTGCACACAGGGGGTGAGTTGGGGGTGTGAGGGCCGATTGAAGAATGGTGATCGAGCTATCCACCCGCCCAGCTTTCCGGTGCCATCTCTGCGTTTGGCTACGCCAAGAGCCTTCGTAGCTGTATTCCTCCAGACAAGAAGGCCCGAGCAGAATGGAGACAAGAACGGGCTGGGTTTTGTGACCCTCTGCCCAAGTCGAATAAGGCGCCGGTCACAAGGAGCCAGGAACCTGTGGCGACCAACTGCCGGGGGTAGTGTGGTGGCGTGGCACCGACCATTCCCCCCAGGTCCCCACGCAGGAGGTGCCTGCACATTCCTGGAAAAGGACGAGGGGAGTACCAGGCTGGCCTGCGCTCAAAAACAGGAGGTCATAAACCAAACCCCTTTGTCGGCTCTTCCACAGATCCTTTCTGTTTTATGGGCGCCCGCTGGAAGGGGGGGGGGCCGTGCCACGCCACCCACCTCGATCCTTTGCACGCAAGGTCACAATCTGAGTCGTCCTTGCAATTTAGGGAGCCATAACAAGGGGTCATGTACTTAACCTTTGATCTCCTTTGATTTTGTTTCGCCCCTGATCATCTGCCCATGGGCTCATTCCCCTTCATATGCTTCTAGAGCTCTAGGGTTTAACTTTGAACGCTCCATTATCGCCCTTTCGGGGTGTTCGGCCTCCCCACTCACGAATGAGTTCGAGTTTCCTGGTATCACTAGGGCTCTAGGCTCCATTTTTTGCCAGGCTCGACATCCTATAACACCTTCCTTTAAGACCGCCAACTCCCACCCTTCCTAGTTTCAAAGTTTTCAGGCTAGGGGCTTCCGTTTGGGGCTCACCCCACTCGCGCCCCGGTCATCTCTTTCTAACGTTTACGACTGCTTCCGCAGTGAAAGGAAACTTCTAACCTCTGCAGTGAAGATACAACCACGGTGGCGGGAGCTTGCATTGCAACATCCAGCCTGGACCAAGACTTGAGCGCCGCCTCCTTGCAAGACGTGCCAAAGCGCTGCCATCTGCTCTAGCGGAGAGAGCTGAGTTTAGCGGTGCAGACAAAGCTCCATTTCCGACAGAGCGCCTGGAGCACACATCAGCATGCCACTCGAATCACATGCTGAAAAGGGTGTTGCGAGCTTCGGACTTGGATCCAGAAAAGCCAGGAGCATCTGCGAGCGAAATGTCTCTGCCGGGACCTGGCTTCACTTGAGGGGTGCTCAGTAGCTTCCAAACTGAAATCTGATCCTGTTGCAAAAGCTGCCCACACATCTCGCTTGCACGCAAAGTAGCGGGACTGGATGTTGGATTTCATCATGAACACCCATGTTGTCTGTTGCTTGGTGCAAGAACGGCGGCAGGTTTCATATGGTTTATGCGGGTCTGCACTTCCCACTGAAAGCCAGATCCTAGATTGATTTGTGGCCCACACCCAGCGCAAGATCTGATTGTGACATGAGCAGTCTTCAACTTGTGCCCCGTTTGGAGCTGCGGGTCTGTTGCTCTTAGAGTTTCGGATTTGTCACTCCTGCTTTAGGTGTTGTTTTTGTTGCTTCTTTCGCCTTTCTCTTTGTTCCGGTGTTTCGGGCTTCTTGCTTCTACTCCTTGTCACGTCAACAGTTGCCAAGCTTTCCAGGCTCTCTTTCTCTTTTCCTGAGACTTGGCATTTACGAGTTCCTGAACACCTACACACTGGCGTGCAGGTGTTCATCATTGCTTTGTGATCATGTCATTCATCATTAATCATCGTTGGGCTTGGGCTGCAGTCCTTCTAAGAGGGCGTCATTTTCACATTGCGGCTCAGGAACTTCAGCCTTCTTGAAAGCAACTGTGAACTGTGTGCTATCTTTTGAAGGGCTCGCAACGAGGGTCTGCCCAGAATCCGTAAGACTCCGCCATGATACATATACATATATGAGGAACCTGACAGTTCGGGCGATCGGCTAAGGGGTGTCGCTCCAATGCGAGCGTGGGGCTTGCCAATCCATGTGAGCCGAAGATTTAGGGTCTGCTGCTGTTTATCGGTACAAAACCAGCTATAGACAGAAGTGACAGGTCTTGACTTGAAATAGTCTTGCGGTGTCTGGTTGCATTTAGCGCAAACATACTCAACCTGAGGACTTTATTCTGCCACAGTTCAACCGAGCCCGATACGAAGATGAACTGGAAGAGATTTCATGGCGGGTTGGCTCGGGTGCAGGTGTCACCAAACCACCCGCCGTTCATATGTCTTGAAACTGAAAGGAAGCTCTGCGAACAAGTTGCGAAACTGGTGTCTCAGGCTCAAGCCAAGTTCAGTGCTGCCTTTCCATGTTGAAAAGGCCTCTGAAAGGCCTGTGAACGGCTCAAGAACGACCGGTGACTCGTCACTGCCCGCGGAAGGTGCCTCGGGCCCATCAAGTAGCCAAAATGCACCATCGTGCCCAGGAAGTGCCTTATTCATCTGAGCTCCTGCATTCCAGTCATATCGGCAGACCCACTCGGGCACCAGACTAGGTCAATAAATGCCGGACCCAAGCCTCGGGAGGAAGTCAGCTTTGAAACGGCCATGTATCAGCGTGTCTCTCTCTGTAAGCCTGAGATCCTGACCGATGTCCAGGTCGTACGGCCTCGTCTGTACATCAGGAGCCCTTTCTTCGTGAAAAGACCCGTATCTCAGGCCACCGGCCGACCAGCTTTCCTCAGAACCTCCGCAGCCTTCGGCCCAGGACCCTCAACGTCTTCAAGGCCGTATTGCCCTACGGAATACCCCGCATCAGACGACATCAGAGAAGCGCTTTCCATCCCCGAATGCCACACCGACACCTCATTGCAAGCTTGTCCTCAAAATCCTAAGCTGCAGGGGGTTAACAGGCCTCGTGCCGGAACTTCAGGGTCGTGTCAGACACAACCCGTCGCTGAGCTGAAGCTGAACAGAGCACATCCACCTGATACATGTCGAAAAAACTGCCATCTCATCGTCGCGCATCACTTCAGCAGCTCTCGGTAGCTCACCATGACTTCTTGAAGCTCCGGGGATAGCTCAGAAGCGGCTTCTCGTGAAGAGGGCGACATCAGCAGCCTCAGCCTGAACATGTCAAAAGGTTTTCGAAATCTCCCCTGCTCTGGCTTGGCTGAGCATTGCACACAAAGTTTCGCAACACTGTCGCGTGTAGCGGGGCTTGCGACTCCTGGGCTCGCTTGCTGCTTCGAAGCCACCGGGCCACCTCCAATGCGCGCCGTTGCATGCCGCGAAATGTAAAAGGTCGAAATTACTTATGCTCCCCATGCCTCCCATAGGTCAGATTGCCCAGCTCGGGGTGTCCAGCCTGCATATGGACGCTTTGGCACATTGCGACTCAAAGAGAGAGAGAGAGAGAGAGAGAGAGAGTGTGTGTGTGTAAGTGTCCGGCTCGTCAAAGTTAGCCCCAAGCAAACGGCAGCAATGGTCTCTGGTGACATGGGACGAATGGGCGAAGCCACTGTCAGCAACCTTCCAAGCAGGGAGTGCTCTCCACCTTGAACATAAACCCACTTTGGCTGCGACTGTCAAGCCTCTTGAGGATGTGGTCAACTTGTGGAGCCTGCATGGAAGTCTCCATAAGTCAAGTGTAAAACTTAGGACTACGGAGTTTTGGTGGCCTCAACTATGCCCAGTCTGGCGGCAGCTGCCAGAAGTCGTGCTAGGCCATTGGCTGAAAGTTGGCGCCCTGCTCCCTGGCATCTCAGGCAGCTGCTGGCAGATCACTCTCTCGGCTCTCAATTCGGCGTTCCTATTTCTCTTCTCCATGTGCCATCTGCTCCGAACGATCACTAACCTCTCTTTGTGATAGTTTGTCAAGACCACAGCAACGACGGAGAGGTATGCTTGAAAAGCTTGGTCCTCCGCGAGGAGCATCCGCAGCCACGGCATCAGCCTCGTTGACGCTTTACAATGGTCGAGAGAGTCGAGACTGCTGGCACTCGAGGCCAAGCGATGCCAAGCGGCTCCGGGAGTGCCAAACGAAGTTTAGCGCAGGACTCTAGCACCTGTGCTGCAATGCTGTGCACCACCGCGAACCGCAACCAAGGAAGTGCTGATGCAGCAGGAATGTTGCCTCCACCGCGCGTGTGGCCTTGCTAGCAAACACTAAGGGTTTTGGTTTGCCTGTGTGGTTCCAACACCAACTTGGGTGCGCACGCCAGTCTCAGTCATGCAATCCAAAGCAGCAGAGAAGAGCGGAGCATGAGGCAAGCCGGCAACCTAGATTCCGTTGTTTTCACAAACCACACGTCGCACGAGGTTCAGTTACTGGCAACGTCAAGCAGGCGGAATCCAGTTCAATGCTAAGTGCACGGCGGCACATGCTTGCAATGCACCACCCTGGAGACCAAGGGCATGCTTGCACTTGCCGGCGAAACAGCATCACTCGGAGGCACACCAGCTGATCCGCTGTCAAGTCTGGTGCTGCTTGTGCAATGCTTTGGCAGAGTTTCTCCAGTAGTTGGAGCACCTGGAAATCACGCTGAGAGCATGTTCAGGTCACCGGCCAACGGCCAGTCTTAGCGAGACATGCAAAGTTGCTCGGCCACATCCCAGTATGCTGCACCTCTGCAGTGGCACCGGCGGCCAGACGTTCAGCAAATGGGGCTGCTGCCTCCACCAGCTTGCATAATAGACTAGTCACATCTACAGTCGCCACATGTCGCCACACCTCCAAGGCTTGAAGAGCCTCTACCGGCTCGTTGCAAAGCGCGGTAGCCTCAGCAATCGTGACTCCTTTCCGAACCGGACTCACTGAAATTCCATACTCAGATTAGCGCATCTCGAAGAAAGTGAACCAGCTCGAGATCGGTCCTTAGCTGTGAGGTTCAGCTCCGTGCTGTTGTGTGTGCTTAGGACGCCATTCAGCTGCCTTGGCTGCTGCCATGCGCTGAGAAGGGCCTGAAACTTTGAGGCCTTGTCCTGCGAAGGGGAGGCGGGAAGGTGCAGAATGCCCAAATAAAGCTGTTTGCTGCTGACCTCAGCTGTGGAAGAGTTGTCGTCCGTGCTTGTGGTACCAGACCTGTCCGTTGCTGGAGCTCCTGGCATCAACTTTGGACTGACGTTGCTTCATGCTCTAGAAAATGTCGGGCTACAGTACACCCTGGATGGCAGTGCCAACATGTCGTTCCTTGACATAGCACCTCCCACGTGCTGCCAGCGAAGATGGCTTGCACCTCTACACGCACAATGCTGCTGCATCCTGCATGTATTGAAGTACTTGGATGCCTGGTTTTGCCTTGTCCCAGTGCATGATGCTTGATTCTGGGTCTCTTGCCCGCTCTACATCTGCATCATTTCGGGTCAGGACCGCTGCTTGCAAAGCCTCGAACTCAGACACAAGTATCGCACCGAACTCATTTTTTGAAAGCGACCTTCACCCCACTGGGCGGCAAGGTGGAGATCAAGCCAGGGGCGGCCAACGCAGCCTCGTGCCATGTCTCAGCCAACAAGACCCTTAGAGCCCCTCAGAGCCCCTTAGAGCCCCTCAGAACCCCTAGAGTCTTACCGGCACCAGCAACCCAAAGGGCTCCCTCCCTGAGACCGTCCTGTCCTGCAGCAAACCGACAACCTCTTGAAGGTCGATGCATTCCAGCAGCAGCTCCTTACAGACAGTTGCAATCTCCAATGCATCTCCAATGACTTGAGAGTTTTTCGCACTGCTTCTTGGAACTGACAGTCATGAACTCGAACTATACCTTCTCTAGCAACTAGTACCAATGCAAGCACATCGCAGTCAAGGTCCTGAACTGAACATCATGAACCAGCATACATCACGAGCTTGCATGGCGCCTCCATTCTCTTCGTGATCGCTTGAGCGAAGTCGCAATGGCTCTGCCAGAACTCCTGAAGGCCGAACATATGTGTACAGGATGCAAGCAGCTTCTGAACCTCTTGCAAAGCTGCGCAGTGTATATTGGGATGCAGGTGGCAAGTGCCTGAGTCCCAGCCCACATCTCCAAGATCTCAGCCAGAGTTTCAGGCCTGACGGTGAGATGTGCGCATCGCAGAGGGTGGGATCAGCAGGGGCTCAGCCGTCAGTCAGATCTGGCATTGCTAAGCGGAATGCTGGCAGTACTGGACCGATTCGGTCAAGTCCTGCGGTGTGCGCCACGTGGAACATCCTTCTGCATAATGGCTCTCTGCAAAGTCACGTCCAGTCTGAAGTCCTGAATGACTAGCTCCTGCAGCTCTTCGAGCTGGTCGGTCCAGTATGGTGCCATCCTCTTGGCCTAGACCAGACCAGATACACGCAAACAGTGCTGCATCAGACCCTCCACGCACCCAGCGCCTCTGCTTTCACACAGCTCAGAACATCGGAAAGTTGGACCAGGCGCTGCCTGGTCTCGCACACTCCCTACACTCTACATGGAGGAAATGCTGTGAATTCCATAGCAGTATCAGACATGAGCCAGCTCATGCCACTCGGATGAAAGCAGCATGCACGCAAAAGCCACCGACAACTTGAACCAAAGTTGTCGTCGCGGGTACCGGATGTCATGACAGTTTTGTTTAAGGTACGGACACGCTCAGTTCGGCCGATGCCACCAACAGTCGCCATTGCTGATGAACCTGGCACGGCGCAGTGAACAATGGCGCACGAAATCGCCGTGAAAGGGCTTTTGCCTTGTGTAGGCCTTTTGAAAGGAATGCAGTGGAGCTTTGTGAAAGCACCAGCCTCCGGAATGCCTGCAGCTTGGCAGCTGCCCTCCGTCTTCGCAGAGAGAGCTATGGCTTCCGAGAACCAGGCCCAAAGGAACACGATCAGCTCCTCTGTTCTGAGAAGATCAAAGCGGTTGCTGAGATAAGCAGCCACCTGACAAAATGCTCTCAGCGACTCAGCGTGTGAAGTGCGTGTTTCATGGACAAGCTAGAGCATCTGAGCGTTTCGCGTCCCTGGCGAATACGGCCGTATTCACCAGCTCCGGATTCAGGCCGAGAGACCTCTCAACCGCCAGAGAATCATGGCTGCGGTCCGGTGCAGACTGCGCTGCAGAGGCTCATGATTGCAGCGATTGGAGCCCGGCACAGCCAAGCTCAAGATCTGTTGCACAGATATGGCGCCTGTGGGATTCTCCTTGCGTGCATGAGCTCTCATGTGCCACCACACGAATTTGCATCCAACAGAACTCTCTCCCAGCTATGCCGCTTTCTGCCATTCACCGAACCATCCCACAAACCAAAATTTAAAAGCAACCGCAAGAATCATCATCATCCAGGAAAGCTCGAACCGATGTACTTCATCTGCCTTCTCCTTTCGAAGCCGCAGAAGCCACTGAGTAAGAAGGACCCGCAGTGCCTCCTCTCTGTCCTGACATTGAGGCTGGGAGACTGTAAACTAATTATGTCTCCGGCCAACTAAAAACTAGGGCTACCTGGCACTGTATCTGACAAATCTATTCCACTTGATATTCCTTGTGTATGAAACCACCAACCATCCCATGGTGCATCACGCTTGTGCAGCAGGCTGACCTCCATCGGCAGAGGCACACGGCAGATCGTAGCCAGCATTGGTGGGATCAGCCTTGGCTGCCACGGCCCCTCCCGTCACTACCTTGGAAGCCGGGATTCTTTGGTACCTGGCTCCGGCTCAAAGCTGCTGGCAGCCTGCTGCGCCCGACGGGCAAGTGCCTGCACTGAAAACAGTACTTCGAAAGTTCACCAAGGCTTGGCTGTCGAGATAAGTCTCAACTCATTCTCACCAACAGCAAGCTAAGCATGCCTTTTTGACACCGAAGCCCTTTTGGGTCTTTGTGTGGGCTGCGGCTGTGGATGCACTCAGTCCAGGTCCAAGTTGACTTCCTCTTCTTCATCAACATGTCCTGGAGGAACCTCCACGCAGCGACAGCAAATGAGCGCAACCGGAAGCTCGTGCAGCTCAGCAACGCAATTGAGCTCTCTGCAGGCCTCCGCATCGTCTTTTGTGGGCTCCTTTTGCACATCGCTTGTGATCCGAAGCACTACCAGCCTACCAGCTATTCCCTGCAACAGCCTCCGTCTGCTCGGCTGGGCGCTTGCCGACTCGCTCCACTCGATTTCCCGACCTCCCATGCCTTAGATGAACAGTCCAAGGCTTGGAACAGTTCTCACAAATTGTCTTCACACCTTGACCCAACCGTTACACCTGCAAATGTGGGTGTTGATCAATATTTTCAATCTTTCTTCGCGGAATAGTGCTTTCCTTTCGCGGGACTTTCGCACGACAAAACTGTAATAGTATTTTAGCAGTAATAGTATATGTCCTGCTAATCGGAACAGCAACAGTAATAGCAATGATATTAGTTTATCGTAACCGTAATTAAAGGAAAAAGAAATAGTAGTATTACAAGTACAAGTAATCATACTACTAGTACTAGTAATTGTAATAGCCACTGCTAGTGCTAGTAGTAGTAGTAGTAGTAGTAGTAGTAGTAGTAGTGGTAGTAGTAGTAGTAGTAGTGGTGGTAGCAAAAGTAGAAGTAGTAGTAGTAGTAGTAGCAGTAGTAGTAGCAGTAGGAGTAGTAGTAGCAGTAGTAGTAGTAGTAGTAGCAGTAGTAGTAGTAGTAGTAGTAGTA